TAAAATCTTTCAGCAAGTATGCTCAGTCCCTCTAAGTCCTAATTAAAGCACAAAAGATTCCTTTTTGCCTAAATCTCCACAATCTTATGTACTCCAATTACATTTGGCTCTCTGGAGTCCACAGGTCCGGCACCTTGAGGTTCAACTAACCAGAGACTGAAAATTTTCAGAGGGGAAAAAATAAAAATAATACAACAATTAAAAAAACATAAATTAATAAAGTATTACAACTATTTACATGGCATTTACACTGTGTTAGGCATCATATGTTGCCTAGAGATAATTTTGGGGGATGTGCTTAGGTTATATGCAAATACTATGCCACTTGATATAAGCAACTTGTGCATTCATGGGTTCTGGTATCCTCTAGGGTCCTGAAACCAATCCTTATACATACTGAGAAATAAGTATGTACCCCTTTTTCCCTCCCAGGCTCTAATGTGAGACCAGTAGCTGTCTCCTGAATCCTTCATGATTTTTCATGCACGTGTTCCCTTTGCCAAAAATTCCAATTTTCTATACATATAATTGTCTACCAATCTTTTAAGAACCAATATTTGGGAATTACATCATTCATATATGTATGACTTTCTCTGATTCCCCTACTTTGATAAAAATCAGACATTCTATCATCCTTAGCACTTCTGTGCCTTACTTCTACATTAGTACTGTATCTAGCATATTATGTTATGATTATTTCTCATGTCTACTTCTCCTATTAGATTATAAGCTCCTTAAAGGCAAGGGTTAGGTTTTAGATATCTGTATATCTGTGGAAATCAATACCGTACTGTACATGCTAAGAAATGATGTAAAAACACTTTGTAAATCATGGTGATTTACATATTTGTTATTATGAGGTAGAGTATGCTCATTTAAACTAGTACTCTGTACTTCAAAGGTTTATTTTATTTTATTTTATTAGATGGAGACTTGCTCTGTCACCCAGGCTAGAGTGCAGTGGAGCATTCTTGGCTCACTGCAATCTCTACCTCCTGGGTTCAAGCAATTCTGCTTCAGCTTCCCGAGTGAGTATAGCTGGGGCTACAGGTATGTGCCACCATGCCTGGCTAATTTTTTGTATTTTTAGTAGAGATGGGGTTTTGCCATGTTGGCCAGGCTGGTCTCGAACACCTGACCACAGACGATACGTCTGTCTTGGTCCCCCAAAGTGCTGGGATTACAGGCATGAGCCACCATACCCGGCCCAAAGGTTTAAAATATCTACTCTAAATAGTTTTTGCTGTATGGATCAAATCTTCTGTTGGCTTATTGTTTAAGGAGCATTTGTTATTTTTCCCCAAGCTTTACTGAGTTCAAGTTTGAGAGGAATGCCTCCATTTTCTTAACTTATTCTTAAATGATATGCTGGGCTACGGAATGCTTATAAGGAACCTGAAATTAATGTAAACTCATCTTTAGCTTAAAAGAAGTAATAGTTAAGCTCTAAAAGAATTGTAAAGAATAAGTCTATGATGATTTAACTCTATTGTTTTATAAATACACTAACATAAATATTCAGAAACAAATACACACCAAACCAAGACTATTTAAATTTTTTAAATGTTAAAGTTTTGTCCATCTACTTCTTGTTGTACAGTATATTAATGATATTGAACAGTGGAGTAGGAAAGGCCTTGTTAAGAAGAATGCCAGGTACTCTGCTTTAAAGGAGCTCAGTTTCAGTAACTCTTCAGAAGTGAGCACACCTACCCTGATATAAAATGGGCTTTTGAAACTTAATTACATGCTAGTCTTCTACTAAGAAAATTCATAGGATAAGTCTGATTCTCTGAGGGGGAAATTTATCAATGGTCAAACCACACCTCCTCAGTTTCCTCAACTTTTTGTCTAAATTTGCTATACAGGTTGTAATAGTAACAACATAGAAGGAAGAACATTGCAATGAACAGTTGAAATAAGATCCCCGTTTGTAAAGTCATTCAGTAATGACAGAGAATTCAAGAAATCATGTTTTCTCTAAGACTAAATCTGGTGTTTCTGGGTTAAGCAACAGCGACCTGCAAAGCCAGGTTTTTTTTTTTTTTTTGAGATGGAGTTTTGCTCTTGTTACCCAGGCTGGAGTGCAATGGCGCGATCTCGGCTCACCGCAACCTCCGCCTCCTGGGTTCAGGCAATTCTCCTGCCTCAGCCTCCTGAGTAGCTGGGATTACAGGCACACGCCACCATGCCCAGCTAAGTTTTTGAATTTTTTGTAGAGACGGGGTTTCACCATGTTGACCAGGATTCCAGTGCCACTAATGATTAGCTGGATAACCTAAGTAAGTCATTTATCCACCACTCCATTTTTCTATAAATGGGAGTGGACTGTATGACAACATCTCTTGGTCCCTTACAGTTCTAACATCCTACAAGCCTAATCATTAGGATTCCCTGCTCCAAACTTGGCTGAGCCTGAACTTCCATTAGGGAATATGGGAAGGATCTCTAGAGAAAAAAACAGCAAGAGAGAAATAGGATTAATTGCTATTCTATGTTATACTACTATTTACCTTCATAACACTTTGATCAGCTACACCAGCTATAGAATAAAATATTTAAATCTGTGTTTTTTAATATTAGATTATAGAACACTAAAAGAACAGTTTTACTGAAAAAAAAAAGATCCTATTTTTGTCTGTTTTACTTTGGTTTCTGGGTAATTCTGCTCTTTGTATTCTTTATTCATATTTGCAACAAAGCAAAATCATAAAATAAAAAACTCAAATGTTAAATTATCTCAATAATCTCATTTATAAAATGGAAATAACATCTACCACAGAGTTATACTGCTATCCAGGTTGCTGAAACATCAAATGAGGCACTAAAATAATGATATTTTTTAGAAGTTAAGTAGTAGTAGTAGAAGCAGCAGGAATAGTAGCAGTAGTAGTAGTAGCAGCAAATATTTATTGAGAATTTATTATATTCTAAGCATGTTCTTAGTATTTCACATGTACTTACCCAGGAAGTACTCATATTTATCCTGTCATGCTGATATTATTATTTTCTCCATTTTATAGATAAGGAAACAGTGGCACAAACTGATTAAATAATTGTTTAATAAGTGATGAAACCAGGTCTCAATCCAGACAATCTGTCTCCAGAACTTAACCTCTTAACTACCAAAGATACTATTTGTCTCTGGCAAAAAGACTGTGCTCATTTCACCATACCAAGGGTGCCATATAAATGGGTGGTGTTATCCTGGAATAACAGGTTAGGTTTTGGATGGTTCCATAGTTCTGGAAGATTCAGGCCATGTTTGAGAGATACTCTGAGATCAATGTCCCCGGAAAAAAAAATGCTCTTTTAAAGACCAGCTTGCCCTTGGGGGAAAAAAAATTTTTGTAATACTTCTAGTTGAGCTTAGTGGGTAGGTCATTTTGTTAGGACCTACAGCAGTAAAAGAAACGGTTTTGAAGTGGTGCTTTTAACTGTATTAGCAGGAATGAATTATTTGTATCATGAATTTCAATGGTTTTAAGAGAGTATTTCTTTGAACCTATACAGTAACTGCCTATGCTCAGTGGGCTTCCTAACATACAAATTAATGGAGAAACTGTCTGTGTTAGGTTGCTGTTTGAATCACTCACCATATAAGTGGTTTTAAATTGGCTGTTAAAGAACCCATTTAAAATGTGTAACAGTCACTGACCTGGAGGTAGTACCTAACCCTATGCGAAAAGGGTTAGTTAATTCCCTTAAGTCTCCATAAAACCCACACCTCCACCTTACCCAGGGTGGGGCAATCAATGCTGTACAAGAGTGGTTACAACCATGAACAGCAGGTCCAGGTGGCTTTTCAAAAGCTGGAAAGATGACCAGTCTTTTCTATCTGTTGTGCCCAAAAAAAGAAGAGAAAAGTGTTTTGTATCTGGATCATATGAAAATGGGAACCTGTAATAAGTTACAGCATGATGGATGCTACTAAAGTATACTGAAGAAAAACGGAAGAGTTTTTTTAATACATAGGGAAGGCCAAGCACGGTGGCTCACACCTGTAATTTCAGCACTTTGGGAGGCCGAAGAAGGAAGGTGGATTCATTGAGCCCAGGACTTTGAGACCAGTCTGGGCAACATAGTGAGACCCTCGTCTCAAAAAAAAAAAAAAACAAAAATAACCTGGGCTGGGGGTAACTAACCTTGGTCCCAGCTATTCATGAGGCTGAGGTCAGAGGATCACCTGAGCCTAGGGAGGTTAAGGCTGCAGTGAGCCATGATCACACCACAGCACTCCAGCCTGAGTGACAGAGTGAAACCCTGTCTCCAAAACAAAAAGGAAAAAAAAAAAGAAAAAAAAAAAGTAAAATATTCTCTAATCTTCCCTTTGGAGAAAGCTTAAAAACAACCAGGTCAGCACTTATCAGCTGACAGCTGCATATAGAAATGAATGGAAAACAAGATTTGACCCAAAGAAAATCCCCTATGGAATATAACTTAGGAACCTGGCTTGGTTCTGGCTACCAAAACAAAGTAAGTAGAAGGAACTTCACAGTCCTAAGTTCACTTTAGGATCTGAAAAAATAAGTTACAGAGATGATTATAGTTCCTAGTTCTTTGGATAAAATGAAAGAAAGAGATAAGGTAATACAATACTCTTAGAGCAGAAGCACAAAATAAACAAAAAAGTTTCTGATAAAAATACAACTGGAAGAGATGCTCCTGACTCTAAATTCACCTAAGTCTAAAAGAAGGGGGCAAGAGAACGGCATATTTAGATCACTAGTCCACCACTGGAAGACTAACCATAAAAGTCAGTTTTTACTTGCCAGCATCTTCACTAAAAGCACATCTAGAATTCCCAAGTCATATGACTCTAATATTAGTTAACAGAATTAACATAGGTCCTAAGTAAAAATTCCATTCATATGAAAATATCCTATCTTCAAATCATGAAGAAAACCTATAAAACATGGTATTAAAACTAGCTTTATTTTGTTTAATGTATTAGGTGATGAAATCATTATTGTTTTTCAAAAGGGAAACAAACAATGTACCTGAGATAGCTTCCAAAATAAGCAACAATATTTGGGTGTTTACAGTCTTTCATCATAATAATTTCTTGCTGCACAACTGCAAAGTCTTCTCCTAGAATAAAAAACAAGCATGTTGAATAGAGGTAAGTTTCAAAATGCTCATTTATTTCAAAACACAATAAAATAATTATACCTATTAATAAGTATAACATAATTAATGAGTTATAAATAAAACACAGCCAATTTCAGTCCTGACTTGAGAGAAAATATAGAATAGTGATTAAATGTATAAACTCTGGCCCCACACTTTCTGGAATAAAATCCTAACTCTGTTCCTCACTAAGCTGTGTGAGCTTGGGTAAATTATTTGACTTCTCTGTGCCAATTCCATTCTCGGTAAAATAATAATAGCGTATCTCATAGGGAAGTTGTGAGGGTTAAATGAACCAATACATGTAAAATGCTTAGAACAGTGCCTGGCATAGAGTATGCTTTATATAAGTATTTGCTATTATTATTATCATTATTATTATTATTATGCCTTGGACATAATCATCGGTATAATCCATCAATAGGAAATGGAATTTTTTTTCCTTTATTTCTAAATAACATTTAATATAATTTTAGCACAAAGAAGTAATTTTTTAAGTTAGGGCAGGAACCATTATATGCCAAGTGTGTCAAATTTGTCTCCACAGGCTATTTGTAGAGCTGAGAGGCCTACACTGGAGCAGTACTGGATTACCTGATGGCCCACATTCACAGGCTTATCCTGTATTTGAGTGCCTTGTTCCAACTGTGTTAGGATGCAGCATGGGATTGTATTTTAGCCTGGTCAGACTATTAGCAAATAACCTCTCTCCTACTCCCTCCCTGTCCAAATTCTCTAAAATAAGATCTGGCAATTTTATAGCAGTGTCACATGCTGTGGCTCCTCAATGAACACTTGTCATGGAGAGAAACAGAACTGCAGTGAATGCAAATGTGGTGAACCAGAGACTATGCAGAAAGAGAACAAATGGAAGTGCTTACTCTTTTTTTTTTTTTTTTTTTGAGACGGAGTTTCGCTCTTGTTACCCAGGCTGGAGTGCAATGGCGCGATCTCGGCTCACCGCAACCTCCGCCTCCCGGGTTCAGGCAATTCTCCTGCCCCAGCCTCCTGAGTAGCTGGGATTACAGGCACGCGCCACCATGCCCAGCTAATTTTTTGTATTTTTAGTAGAGACGGGGTTTCACCATGTTGAGTGCTTACTCTTAAATAAAAGTAGCTTTGTATCACTAATTGAGTTTTTAAAGTACTACATACTATAAATAGCCTGATTAAATGTAAGTTAGTAGCAAAGTAAAAAACAGAAGGCTTTCCCAGTTCCTGCCCAAATCATAAGCATGAGGTCATTGTGGTAAGCCCCGACATTTCTCGCCTTGGCATTTTCCTACTGCAAGTGTAATTGAGACTTGAAACAGCCCAACCATGAATCATTTGAACCCAATATCAAAATCCACCTTACTGTCCCAGTTACAAGGAAAGAAATAATGGACAAGAGATGGTTGTTATGTCAGGTTCTTAAGTTCTGCATTGATGTGAGCACAAAATCACAGATCTCCAAAGACATAATTTTTTAGGCTTTCAAAAATTTAGAAGTTTACTGAACTATGATCTTCTTATCACTTTACTTCCCACTATTAAGGATTCCTGATTTTCCATATATTAGAAGAAATCAAAGTTAGAAATAATAAAGCCAAAATAGGACCAACATCAATTTTTATAGATATACTAGGTACTTTGGAAGTTCTGGACTTCTAGTTTCTCACCCAACCCAAAAATATACTTTTCTTCAATCTAGTGACAGAGTCGCATACAATCAAAGTTGATCTAGTCAGCGTGAACCTAGAACTTTAGCTTGATGGTTAGAGAACAAAAGCTCTCTTTCTGAGGGTTATCCCTGTGAGTTACTGGCAGTCATGATACAACCTCAAAGGGAGTCAGCCTTACGGTAAAGTTAATTTGAGGAAAGCATTGAAGAGAAACAGGTAAAAGGAAGCATGTTGGGCTATTATAACAAGCCTCACCTGCCTTTGTAATTTTCAGATATACCTGTACATGACTAATAAACTCTGTGTATTGTTTAAGCTACTTCAGCTGGGCTTTCTGTTACTGATAAATGTAAGCATCACAACTTCTACAGTGATCTTTGTATGGAGCACCTTTATTTATACAACATTGACATCGGCATGTCTATGCCCTCATTAGAATATACAGTCCTCTAGGATAGGATTATGTCTTCATCATCTTTGTACTCTTAGTAGCTAAGACGTGATCAATAAAGAACTGTTGACTGAATGAATCTACACCACTATATAATTCCTTTCTATGATGACTGTAAATCCAGAGTAACAGTTTTTGGTTTAATTTCATCCAATAGTTAGCATGTTTTATATAATTAATTGCCTATATATTATTCCTTTTATTTCTAATAAAACCTATTAGTGGCTTTAGGTTTTCAACTGTAGCTTTCCCATGAACTACTATTGATCCAGAGTGTATTATTTTGTAATATTAAGTCTACTCTAACGTGATTGTGAGAATGGTCAAATTAAATTCAACATTTTTGTGGGAAAAAAATCCAAAGAAAAATTCCACATGCTCAATTTTTAAAGATAAATTAAAAAATGTAGATTTGAGTAAGAAAAAGGTAGAGTTTAACATATTAATAACTTAAAGGAGCTGAACTGTTGATTTAAAGAACTTTGTTCAAGGCTCATGAGAAATACATTATAAAGATGGGCCTATATTAAAAGACCCAAGAAAAATATTCTACAGTACTTAAGACACCATAAAGCAGGAGGTTAGACTAGATAATATGTAAAAATTATTTACAATTCTGAGAGTCTAAAATTTTTTGATAAAAGTTTTAGACTAAATTAAAGTGAAGAATTATTCTTCCAGAAGATGTACTGCTCCCCACCCTCACAAAAAAAAAAAACCTCAAAAAAAACAGGCAAGCCTATAAATAGAACACATAATGAATAAAAGCAGAAAAACACAAACGAATACATGTGAAGTTCTCAGTACATGGCACATATGTGTTCAATAAATGTTAACTATCTGTAGTAGGTTGAATAATAGCCCCCAAAAGTACAGAGGCCCTAATCCCTGACACCTGTGAATGATGTATGTTAATTTTATATGGCAAAAGAAATCAACAGATAAGATTAAATTAGGGGGTGGTTAACCTGAATTATCTAGCTGGACCTATAATGTGGTCACAAGTGTCTTTCTAAGAGGGATGCTGAGTGAGACTCAACAAAGAGAAGGCAATGTGATAACTGAAGCAAGATGCTAAACTGTGGACTCTGAAGATAGAGGAAGGGGCCAAGAGTCATGAAGGGCAGCTCTAGAAACTGGAAAAGGCAGGAAAACAGATTCTCCCTTAGCGCCTACAGAGGGAGTATGGCCCTACTGACACCTTGATTGTGACCCAGTGAAACTCATTTTAAACTTCTGAACTCCAGAACTTTAAGAGAGTAAATCTGTGTTGTTTCAAATCACCAAGTTTGTGGTAATCTGTTTCAGTGGTCATAGGATGCAAATACGTCATTATAATCGACATTATTATTATTGTGGTAGAGCTGACTAGCCATCCACAAATGATGTAGTTATTGGTGATGGCAGTTACTCACTCACTCAAAGACAACATTTCCCAGTTAATGTACATACTGATGTGCCCAAAAGGCTAGTTTTTGCCAATAGAACATGAGCAAATTAATGCTTCCCTTTCCTATTATTTTTACCCCCATTAGCAGTCTATATGACACCAAGTCCTCAGGAAATGGAAGAAGTCGAGGTCCCTGAGTCACTAAAAGAAAGAAAGTTACCCTAAATCTTGAACACTTGCACTGAACTATTACATAAACTTAAAATAAGGCCGAGTGCCATGGCTTATCCCTGTAGTCCCAATACTTCAGGAGGCCATGGTAGGAGGATTGCTTGAGCCCAGAAGTTTGACACTAGCCTGGGCAACATAGCGAGACCCTGTATCTACAAAAAAATAAAAAAATTAGCTGGGCATGTCTAGACACACCTGTAGTCCAGCTACTCGAGAGGTTTGAGCCCAGGAGGTTAAGCCTGCAGTGAGTCATTATCATGCCACTGCACTCCAGCCTGGGAGAGACAGCGAGACCATGTCTCAAAAATAAATAAGTAAACAAATAAAATTTTATTATTTTATTTGTTTACTTGTTTAAGCCACAAATATGTTCAGTTCAGTTATTACAATAGTTAACATTACCCTAAGGTGATATAATTATTACCATCCATTTATGGAAAAGATTGTCCAAAATGTAGTAGGTGCTTCACATATGTTTACGTGGATTACTAACAGAATAGATAAAATGAACAAGATTATAGGCACTTTTCTCTATTCAGTACACAATGCTTTCCTATAAACAGGTGTATTAAGTCAAATGTGTGAAAGCAAAAGAGGAGACATGTATGTTATGAGGGCAGGTTTTCCCCTGAAAACAAAAATAGAATGCAGAACCCCTAACGTCTTTTTGCCTTTTAGATACAAATTGACAAATCATTGTATTTCCAACATTTCATATAATTCTTTACTTTTTCCTCATTCTTTCCTTAACAAAATAATACATAATATTGCACTAAATGGTTACTCAACCAAAGTTAAAATTATACCCTTTTTGGTATGCCTAATCATTTACACTGGTGTCAACTGTATTGTTTGTAAGACCTACTCTTATTAGCATATACATTTTGAATAAACTAGCCAGTAATTTTTTATAAAACAGTAAGCCAAAAATGAAACTAAGAAAATTACTATACAACTACTGTTGTTAAAACAGAGATGGTAAATCTGCTAACATCAAACTGTTGGTGGGGAGGTGGCACTGCCATTTTTGTGTATTTAACAGCTTATGTATCTAATTTCAAGTCATTGCATCAAGGTAGTTGACATGTATCACACTGAATAGAAGTAGGGGTTACATAAAAATCAAACAGGGAAAGCAAGAATATCTGTATTGGGATGTGAACTAACAGACCAGTATATCCATCTCTTCAGGGAACCAAGTCTTGGCCTGTTTGTAAACTGTGTG